TAATCATCATTAATATCAATGCAACAAATGAACTTCGTCTAGGCGGTAGTAAATTTGGAAAGGGTGAAAGGTTAAACAAGAAAGCCCAAAGTGTAAAAATAACACCACCACTACTACTAGTGAAGCGTGAAAGCTTGAACGTAATGAATGAAAAACAAAACTGTTCAGAATATAAAATGGTGTAAAAATCATAGAAACACAAAAGAAATAGTTATCTGACTGTAGAACGAATATTTACACCTTCCACTAAAAACAGCTACATACTTAGTCCATGCTTGTTCAGATGACTGATTAACGGTATGGCTAAACATTTAATCTGTAGAAAGCAATATTCCGAATCATAGACGGAACCCGAATATACTTGAACTGTTATACACCATAATCTCAGTAATTCTTTAGTTGAAATCACATCAAGATGGACTTTGTCACTACTCACTCGTGACTGACTGGTTGCCTAAATGATGTACTTCATGGAGTTCTAATGAGAAGCTGCAAATGGTAGAGTTCACCAAGTCAGGTTTCAAAACAGATACTCTTGGACAGCACTAGATAGTGGTGGTGGTGATACTGGTATGTCGTCAATTGACAGAAGTCACAATCTGATCTATCACTGAACTCCAACCCTCAGGCTGAATGGTCAACAGGCTTGCCTTATCATTTCAGGTAACATTTAGTTGAATACTGGATGATTGAAGCAGTCTGTATCAGTGAATGAATGGGTCGTGATGAGGGAAATGGTGGAAACAGAACATTGTCAAAATTAAAAATATGATAAGAAATTGGACTCATCAGGTATCACTCTTTTGAGGTGCTGAATTTTCTTTAAAAGGGAAGTTAGTCTTGTAGTCATGTCCTCTTATTTGTATATCTTTGTTAATCGTTCTCTTTAGTCAGTCTTTCCCAGGAATAATTTTGTCTTCTAAAGTTGTCAGTTGACCAAGCAGTTGCGTTTTTAAACTTTACAGTTTCTGATTCATTTGTGGGAAGATAACTATTCAGTATCTATGATCAAACAGTAGTTCTGATCCAAATGACTAAAGTTCAGTTGACTTGCTCCACCTACAAATTTATTCATTATTAATTTTAGAATACCATTTCAAGAGTCCATCGCCAACGAACAAAGAATCAGTATCCTCAACACTATCACTCTTCTAATCAAACAGCGTGTTATAGAAATCGGATGCACGGAACATTAATAACTAATTTGTGACAACTCAAAGTTAAAATTGGCCTTTTCGCTAGATACTGAAGATCAGGTGACCAGAAGAGATTAGCAACAAAGAACTCTGGCAAGTGAGCAACCGATCAAGAACATATCACCCAATAAACATGCAAAAGGAAGTCAAGATGGACTGGACACACAATGAGAAGACCGGTGAGTGATTTCATGCACCAGGCCCTCGAGTGGAACCCGAATGAGAAGCGGTGAGTTGGTTGTCCAAGGGTGGCGTGAGGATAGTGTGAGGAGGAAATCAAGGCTTATGGGAAATCTTGGAGCCAGTTAAGAAATACTGCAAGGAACAGGGTGAAATGAGATGTACTTCTGGAGCCGTAAGTTCTCCTCGGAATTGATGAACAGCAGCGTAACTAAATAACTAAAGAATCAACGTAGAACTTTGCACAGAAGCACACCCGTTCATTTTGCCACACACACACACACATACACACAACGACAATAACAACAAGAAAACAGAAATGTAATAATAGGGCAAACATGTGAGTATGACGAAGACAATAAATGAAAACTATTGAAATTATTTTCAAAATCCAAAAGGTGATCAGAAGTGAATGCGTCTGAGACAGTGTAAATCATATTCACCAGACACCTACGTCTTATTCCACTGACGGAATTGAGTAAACAGTTTTAATAAGACATCTACTTTCATAAAATAATACCAATAACATCTGTAAGACATTGTACACAACTTCATATACATTATCAAAGTGGTGTTGAACATGCCTGATTAGTTCCCTCTTTGGTGGGAACAATCATCAAAATAACATCAACTATATACCTTCCTAAAACATAATTTATTATAAATTCGTGAGTACTATTTCTATACTTATGAACCAGCAATAATTGGAATAAACTGTGTTCAGAAATGAAGTCCAAATATTATTTTAAGTAAACACAAGCACAAAATTTAGGTAAGGTACCACAAAATTCTAAATCAACAGAATTTTATGAATTTATAGTAAACCATAGCACCTTTGAAGCTGAGCCTCAGTAGGAACTACGATAATCATATATTCACCTGATATTTCACAAATAGGAGGAAACATGTGTCCTGGATTCCAGTACTAGCTACCCGCTTATCAAATAACATATAACAGTTTAACTTATTACCATCCAGTGGTCAGCTGATGTGACTAACTGTGAAGTAATGTTTCTTGCTAAAACACTAAGAGAGATGGATAGGAATTCCCCTGACACTAGAAACAGAAGCTTAAATTAAAGTTCTTACCTCAGGTGGGAGTATACCATTCAGCGTAAAGTTATAAACTAAAATGACCATCCCAGTTTTTACCAAACATCTGAATAGTAACAGCGTTACAGAACAGAATGCCTAGCCTATAAGACTACTAACTATAGCCTTTGTTAAGAGAACAGGAAAGATCTCTGAACTGTGATCAGTTTCAGAATCTGGTTTTGAGAACAGTCACCTAATTACAAAGTTAGCACTTATCAAATGATAAATAAGGAAAACAATATTGTACTCTCAATGAAATACTTTACGTTAATGAGTATCAACCTAAAAGTCAAACTACCTGGCAACAGTAAAGAATGAACACCAAGGTCAACTGACCTTGAATCTACCAATTATATTCTTCTAGGTGGAAAGTGGCATTTCTTTTTTTAAAAGTGTATTGCCCTAATGATCATTTCCTCTTATCCGACGCTTAAAACTTACGCATAAAATAAATAACCATTTGAGTTCATCTGTTTAACACTCCTATTTATTATTTTCTTTCAGACAAATGATTGTAATATGACTAAAATAGTATGCATTGTAATTCAGGACACTCATTTTGTCTTGTGACTCTACCTGGATGTATCCGCATCCAGAGGAGCAAGGATGATCTTTATTGTACTCAAACTCACTACCCATCCTTCAGGAGATAAAATGTTCCTCACCAGGCTGCTAGGCCACGATTCACATATTTATACAAACAAGAAACGAATTTCGAGTCAAATTATGCTTCAAATATATCTTCCCAGATAAAAGATCGTTAATGTTATCGCTCCACCTACTTCAGCTTGGGCAACCGAGTAGTATCTTAGCCCTCACAGTATGCTAGATGACAGAGTTTAGTGTTGGGAAATAGTATTAGGTGTGGTCAAACCAACCAGCGTATGTAGTCTTCGATGGTCAAAGTAAGCTGCCTGACTGGGTTACTCGGAATGCTAAGAACTACGAGTAGTATGACTCAAAATCGTCCTCAATGGCGGAGATGTATTCACCCTTCGTGATCTCCCATATCCCCTAAACATTCATGTTCTTCCATTTTTCTATTCTTTGAGCTTATTATAGATCTTTTGAGTCTTTTTTCTCTACGTTTTCGTGCTACATGAAGTATGAGCAACTTGAACTGGTTCACTTCTGTGCCAAGTTCTATGTTGACATTCAGTTGGCTTCCACACAGCAAGTGTGGCTCATAGGCCGTTACTGGGTAACTGCGTTCTAATCAACCAACTAACCAACGTCGCCAGAATGAGGCCTACCTTATATCAAGATTAGTACAAAGACACACTTCAACATCGCTTATACTAATCTGCAACTGAGCAACACAGGTACTTTAAAACTGATCATGTTTAGTGAAGGAATAACTATCTACAACATAAAAACAATTTAAATATCCAATCCCTGTAGTCCTTACAAGTAGTAAATGTAAGGTGTATAGTTTACTGGAACATACTGAACTTGCACATCGATACAATCTACAATTAGTCAATTCGCGAAAGTGTAAGTCCCTTTTAGTCATTCACTATTTGATCATTATTATTTCAACTGATATTCGTTATTTCACAAATTTCTTGGGCCCAGTTATTTATTTTTCCAAAATGCATAGAAGCTGAAACGATATAACTAGTCTGGGGGTTACAAAAGATTCGGAATGGTCCAGGTATCTGTAAGACGATAAATAAAGGGCAGAATTAAACTATACCAGCCACCCTGGTACATGACCTTCGGAAATCAATTAAATTTACAGGTGATATAACTAAATTAATTTATACCTGTTCTAGATTTGCTTAACGAGTTCTAGGGAGATCGATTGTTTGGCTACTGTGTCAATAATGGATTGACTGAAGTTGTTAAAGCATGCATACTCGGACGAAGCTTGACAGGAGAGTCGGTGTTCCAGAGGGATTGGGACTTTCGGGTAGATTAAAGAGAGGGCAGACTTGGAGCAAAGTGAGGACTCTAGCAGAGAACCGAACGCAATGGAGACGCACGGCTGAAGCCCTATGTTCCTGTAGGAATTAAAGGATACAATAATAATAATAATTAAATGAACAAATAACTTCATTTTAGCTAACCACTTCCCTTTTACTCATTTCAGGCTTAAACTCAAAGTAGTAATACTAATGCAGTGGAATACAACACTGCCTATTCAATGACAATTGTAACTATGATACTCAGACGAAGGATAGGCAAAAGTACTTACCCAGTATAAAAAAAGTATTTCCGTTGGTACATATTTTCCAATCATAAATAATGACAAAGATAGTAATAATGCTTTATTTATTTGAAACAAACAAATGTGACATGTTCACTTTCATCTGTTTACATAAATACATAATATAATTCAACCAAGGCGGGTGGTTTGAATGTGTAAACGTTTATTCACTTTTCCTCCCATTTGACCACCGGACAAAATAATAACAGTAGATTAGGCGCTTTTCAAATTTTGTTTTAAATATAAGAAAATAATATATATATGTATGAACTGATTTATAGAAATAGAAAAAAGAAACAAAGAGAAAAAGAAAAGTAGATTTAAGAAGTTGGTTTTCTGCATACATTTCTGGCTAAATGTACTTTTAAATGATCACTACGCTTAAAACGTTTTGAGCAAATATTACAAAAGAAATTTCTTTCTCCTGTATGAGCACGCCTGTGACGTGATAATTGGTCAGCACGTGTAAATCTAGCGCCACAACCTGGTTGATTACATAAATGCGGTTTAACACCAGTATGTAAATGAAAGTGTTCATTTAAATGTGATCGTTTATAATAAGCTTTAGAGCATCCTGGAAATGTGCATTGATAACGTTTAACACGATTCGAGAGATTTGCATCATTTTTCTTATTAACATTGTTTATATTTTCTTTCATACATTGTTCATGCGTTGATGATTCAGAACTCAGTTGGGGTGAATTATCATTCGATTGGGATTGAAGTGATTGTAAACGTGTAACAGTCTGATTATTAACAGATACATTTGATGAACAACTAGGCTCAGCAAGTGAATTAAGGGATTGCGTTTGTGGATATTGCCATTGTCGTTGTTCGATAGAAGAGTGATAATTCAAAATAAACTGAGTAGCAGCTGCAAGATAAATTAAAATCGGATTCCATGTATTATGATCCGTGAGAGGATAACTATTAAAATATTGTTGTTGCTGGTGTTGCGATAATTCTGAATTTAAATTTACAGGAAATCTATAAGGAATTGTATTTGGATAAAATTGACCACTGGATAATAAGGTATTCCTATCAGATTGAGGATAAGTGAGAAATGAGGAATCCATAGCAGTAAATGGGTTCAAACTAAAGTGTATACGGTTAGTATTCATAGGATTCGATGCATAGCCTTGTAAACTCCCATTGTATAACATATTAATGTTTCTATCGGCCTGGTGTTGATTTATTGGATCCGGTGATCGAGTATTCATCATAGCATATGAAGAACATTTGAAAGTGAACAATCATGGTTTTTCTCAGTCGAAATAGCCAAACAAAATCGCTTGACCTTGACTACTACTATTGACTATAAGGCCAAGTATTTAGTTATATTCCTCTAAATATTTTATACCATATCATTATTGGTAGTGGTGGGGGTGGTCAGCATAACTGTACTCTTTTCATCATGTCAGATTTATTTTGTTGACGCTTAATGTATGTTTTGTTGTAGGTAGAGGATATGCCTTCTGACCTATTCGTTGTTTCTCACCCACTCTATCGATAATTCACTTTCCTGATTGGTTCGTTCTAGGTCAATGGTGTAGAAAATATGTCTGCTTTTAAAGCTTTTTTCCGATCAAGGGATGAGGATGTTATTTCTCTCTCTTTTCTAATGAAAAAAGGAATATGTGTAAGTGGCCACAAAATACGGCTAGAAATAGGCATTTTTGTATTTTCGGCCACACAAACATTCCAAAAATGGCATTGGTTGACTTTCTATGACCGACAAAATCTAACTAGCCTCTTTATATTTCATATACCTATCAACCTGGACAACCAGGTTGTAGTCATGTATGTATCATTTGTGTTGAAAACTGAATAAATAAATTACATCGGAAACATTTTTTGCATATGGCTTTGTATATGGATATATGTATGTAAATATATACTGTCTGATTATGTATTCTAATTTTTAATGGAATGTGAGTCATTCTGCTGAATATATTGAATTTCATTTGTAAGATTTTGTCACGATCCAACATCAGCTACAGAGATCATTGAAAACCAAGGGACTCTGGACATCTGTTTCGTCTCATGTTGGAACTCTTCATCAGTAAGCACCTACGACCCCACTAAAATGTTATAGTCTGACATTTAGAAAGGTTCAATCTGAGACCATCTGAATAAAACCATTGTTTAACCTCTGATTGGAAACTATTCATATGAGAACAATCTGATGCAGAAACAACTGGGACGGAAATTGTCAGATCATCATCAGCTGGCTTTAAAAGAACACGATAAGTCATGTAAACAGAAGAACAGAGGATATGGAGAAGGTATAGCACCTCGGGGCATACCAACTTCAGTAAGCAAAGAAGTGGAGTGCTACCCGTTAATAACAGTGTTATTTTTCCTGCCCAAAGAATAGGACGACAACCATCTTGTGACCCAGGAGTCAGTACGTGCTAAAGTCAGATTGTTTAGCAAAAGTGCCCTAAGAAACGGGATCAAAAGCAGCAGTGTAATCTAAAAAAGAGGGAGATCCAACAAACTTAACACTTTTATTTAGTCTAGAAACAAGATTATGGTGCAATACAACGGCAGCATCTAAAGTACTAATCGCTTGAGCTCAATGAAAATTTTTATTGAGGGTTTAAGAACAAGCAGGGAAAGATTTCCCCTCTGTTACACTATCATCACCTAGTCTGTGTGATAGATTTACGGATTTAAAACATATTAAGACATCCTTTTCATCAAAGTTTGGGAAATAACTATTTAATTGACTAGAGGCATCGAATAGAACTGTATTAGCTTGCTGCCTTAGAACAGATCGATTCAATGCATTAACACTGGAAAAAAGCATCGATAACAGTCTGTTTTTTCCTTGTAAGTAGATTAAACAGTTTCCAGATGTTGAAAGTATTTCTGCATAATAAAAATTTCTCATTATTTATTGCATTTAGTCTCTGTATTTCAGACTTTCTTAAAGAGTTCAATCTTTTAACGCCCGCATTGTCGCTCAATCTATTTAAATTCTGTTTTTCGCCTCGAAGCTTTTTCACTTGCGGAGAAGAGATCCTATCAAATCTTGTAAAAAGCTGTTTTTAGCAGGATGGCCAACGTCAAAGAAGAACTTAAGATAGTAGGTCATATTAGACACTGTAAAATCCAATATTTCATCGATGAATATGTCCCAGCCTGTACTCTACAACATGCAGCTAAATGAATGAATAGTGTAATCATGTGAATAAGATCATTCTTGAACTTTCTTTGTGTGGTGAACAAAATCTCTCATGCTTAATCTGCCCTATACTATCAGACAAACATGAATAGTGAAATGGCGAGAATTCAGCAAGGAAGCTCTCCCATGGATTTCATATATATGTATCACAATAATTTATGAAAACCAAGACTAGGGTTATGTCTAGATGAGTAGTGACCTTGACAAGGTTCTCATGACCAAGTGATGTTTCGTGTAACACCTAACAACCATACAGTCCATATTATCATTGACAAAATTAAAACACACCTGATTAGACATAGACCACTCGGTACTAGTAAAAGTGGCTACCCCTTATTATACATTTTTATACATTCCGATGTTCGCTGTCAACCGCAATGATGTTTCCTCTTCAATTTTCGAGGACAATGCAAAGCGAGAGGTTGGAGAGATTTTAAAAAGGTATGACTGTAAGTGATACGATTTAAAGAAATTATTGACTGATTAAAACAAAAACTAACGCAGCAAATCTAAACAATATATAATTTTGGTGAAATATGGTAATTTGATAGCCTAAACTTCAAGGAATTTACCTATGGATTACACTGAACAAAAATAAAATTCTGGTGATCTGAACTATTACAAGGATATCAGTTAATTAAGATAGTAAGTTTGAGATCCCTGGCTCAAAGCTAGAGAATAAAACCCCCTAGAAACCTGGACAGATTTTAAAACCACACACAGTAGCACTTTATTAAATCTTCACCATTCGAAGAGTTCTAGTGGTCAGATATGTCTATTATTAATATTATTGTTCCCTTGGGTTCCTAGTGGAACATAGGGCTTCAACTGCACGTCTCCACTTGCTTCTGTCTTCTGCTCTACTTTTCACCTGCATCCATGTTAGTCCATACTGTTTCAACTCTTCTTCACACGATCTCCTCCATGTCACCCTTCGACGTCCCATTCGCCGCTTCCCTTTCGGGTTCCACTCGAGCGATGGCCTGACGCGCGATGTCACCCAACGGCCTCCTCAGCAAGTGTGCAATCCATCTCCACTTTCTCTTGCATATTTGTTGGGTGATTGGTTCTTGTTTTGTTTGTTCCCATAGTTTCTTGTTGGTGATTCTTCCCGGCCATCTGAGCGAAGACAGTTGTTGATAAAGGTCTGCAACAGGCTGTTGGAAATATTCTTTGTGACCCGCGCAAGTTTCTGATCCGTATAGAAGAACTGACTGAGTTGACGTTTGTATTGAAAATCCGAATTTTGTTGTTGATGCAGGCTGAGTGACGAAGATTTCCAGATTGGTTTCAGGTTGATGAATGTGTTTCTCGCCTTCCCGATTCTCGATTTGACATCCTCGTCCGTTCCTCCTGTAGTTGAGACAATTCTCCCTAGATAAGTGAGAGAAGTAACCTCTTTCAAATCCCTCCCGTTGATGGTGATTGGCGTTGGATGTTGCTGCTGTTGTTGTTGTTGTTGTCTATGTTCATCTGGAGTCCTGTCTTTGCTGCTTCTTCGACCAGTTTGTCGGTTTTCGCTTGTAAGTCTTCGATTTTGTGTGACATCAAACATAAATCATCTGCGAAATCCAGGTCTTCTAGGTTCTTCACGTCGGATATGTCTATTGACACCATATTCACCTGACTTGTAAAAGTCATCTAACACTGTATAGTAGTATCTGTTGTGTCTTTCTATAAACAGTTGAATCATGTTACTTAAGCTTGTCAATAAAAACTTATATAACAGTGTAAAAATCAGTCTAGTCATCCAAGTTGATGAAGATCACTCATATGTCCACAAGAAATATCCACTGCTCTAATTTCAACTCATTTTTTTATATGGATACATTAATTGCAATTAAGTTGGCTATTGCAAATTTTCTAAAACTCCATTGGTGAAATACGACTGACTTTAGGACGGACAGATGTGGCTAAACTATCTCTACATCCTGAATAAAGCCATGAATACTTTTGGATAGTGTTATGAGAAGACGGAGATTATCTGAAAACATATGTGATGTGTTTGCGCTATACATTTCGAACAATCTGATCACACATTTACTTGTCAAGTCTATTTATATGAAAATGTTAAATTAAACGAAGTGACAAAAAAAGAGATTTAAGAATGATTAACACAACGTTTGGTAATCCAATCTAATAAAGATTACCAAGGTAGTAAGTTAAGAGTAATAATAAATTGTTTTTGAATACGCATGGGGGCCGGGAGCTTAAGTTTATGAATAGCTATAGCCTCGGAGTATTTCAATAAGCGCCCTTGACCGTTTTTATAGATGACCTTAGAGGCTGAGTTAACATCAATCTTATGGTTCATCTCGATTAGGTGATTAGCTATTGACGAGGTTGGTAGTCTGACACCTACATCTACTGGTTTTTCACAGTTCATTTGTGTTTTCTAGCCATTTTGGGATATGCTCTCCCACCGTCACATGCAAAGCGCGATTACTCCTCCCTATGTAAGTGTGATCACACACACACAAACGAAAATGGGTAAATAGTGTGGTATGTGATGGTTAAATAAGACGATCAATCTACAGAAAGCCCACTTGAACAGGTCAGTACCTTAATTTTCACAGTTTCTGTCTATTACAGTATGAGAGAGGTTTGGTGAAATGTCTATTTAAGAGGATTCAACGTATTTGCATGGCTGTTGTTATTGATGTATACTCCTTTTGAAAACGGATATCCTTTGAAATTTTTAGAGAGGTGTAGAAGTCAGTTAGTCTCTAGACCTACAATCCATACCGCCCCTAAGTAAAATGTTTTCATCAAATTACCATATAACGGGGAAAATAAACAATAGGATTTTGAGACATAGGTTGAATTCGATCATCCGTAGAACCTATTAAGCAACCCAGCTTGTAACTGTCGAAAAAGCTAAAAATAAGCTTCACTGCAAACCTCAAAAGTGCACAAGTGATTATGTCACATCTCACACTATTTACCAATTTTCGTTTGTGTGTGTGTGTCACACATACATAGGGAGGAGTAATCGCGCTCTGCATGTGACGGTGGGAGAGTATATCCCAAAAT